CTTCTTCTTCTTCTTCCGTCCCTCCTCCACTTCCCCGTTCTTTTTCTTCTTTTTCGTACTTTTTCCTTTTTCTCATTCTCCTTCTCCCATTCTTTTTCTTATACCACACCTCTCCTCATCCACGTCTTCCCCCTCCTCATCCTCATTATTCGTTTTGTTATTATTCTTTTTCTACCGCACCTCTACACATCCACGTCCTCCGCTTCTTTTTTCTTCTTCTTTTTCTACCGTACCTCCCCACATTCACATTCTTCTTTTTTTCTTCTTCTTCTTTCTCCTCCCCTTATTCTTCTTTCCATTCTTTTTCTTCTACTGCACACCCACATCCAAGTCCTACTCCTCTTTCTTCTTCTTCTTCTTCTTCACGTTATGTCCTTTTATTCTCTTATTGTTTCATTTCAATTTTCCTCTCCTAAAATAATTTCTCTCCTTGAAATTTTAACAGAATAAAATAAATTATCAGCACTTCAAATCTCCCACACAACAAGCCTCTGATCAAAAGCACTAAAACCAACAGCATTCGCAAAACGGGATTCCTTTCCCTTTCTATGCAAGTTATATAAATAAAATATTTTTCCAAACCTCTAATTGATCCCCAGCTTTAATAACTCAGGCTGCTGGTATTCCATTTTTTGCCGCCCTTGAGAGCCAAGTAAGCTTGCTTGTGCAAACAGAGACTTTGTCATTTCTTCTTATCAAAACATCAACTGGAGTTTTTAGATGCACAAGATTTTAAAGAGGTCGCAAAAGATAAAAAGTCAATTTGATCTTGTCAAAGATCTGGTAAAAATGCTTTTTATTTTGTCAGTTAGGGGAAATCGAGTTAGGAGTTTATTGTGACTCTTGAGTTTTAAAATAAAAATGTCCGAAACAAAAATGGCTTTAATATGGAATATCAAAATGCAACAAAAACATAATTAATTTGATAAATTAAAAATAATGAGGAAAAAAGAAATATCTGGTAAATGATATATATATAATATATATATATATATATATATATATATATATATATATATATATATATATATATATATATATATATATATATATATATATTTTTTTTAGTGAGTACACTTGTTAGTGTACATATTTTTTTAAATGAAATTATTGTCTACTGGCCTGGAGATCGAAAGTCATATTAAAGAAAATGTAACTCCCGACACGAATAGAACCTACACTGTCTTTTTGGCTTGAAAGTAGTCCTCCAGATTTGAAAATGAATACTGTTTAGATTCTTGTCAAAAGCCACATTTCTTTAATAAATCTTGCAATCTCTAAGCCGGTAGACATTAATTTCCTTATTTTAAAAAAAGGGATGTCTGATAAAACACTAATACCTACTAAATAATGTTCTAATAATAATAATGATAATAACTCAAAAATGCATCACATGATGACATCAGAGATTACAGCAGTATTTGAAGCCCTCAGATTGATTTGAATAGGTTTCTGCAGAGTCATCTAAAGGGATTCCTGGTAGCCCATGCTTTAGATAAATACAAAAGATTGTACTCGCAAGGACATCTAACAATTTACGAAGAGTTTTATCTATGTAAAATGTGTATGATCCTAGATTGGTGTATTTATTTATTAATATTCTTTTGCAAAAATATTCAGGGGAAAATGTCATGATGACATTTCTGACCTTAGGCCTCTAGTTGGGAGCCGAAGGGAAATGAGCATACAACAGAAATCAAACGAAATAATAATAATAATAATAATAATAAATAAATAAATAAAAAAATGATGTCGGATTAAAAATATATTAAATGATTATTTATCTATATCCATAATATCACTCTATCTCTTTCTCTCTCTCTCTCTCTCTCTCTCTCTCTATATATATATATATATATATATATATATATATATATGTGTGTGTGTGTGTGTGTGTGTGTGTGCGTACATATGTAAATACACATACGCATATACACACACACACACACACACACACACACACATATATATATATATATATATATATATATATATATAATCCTCCCAAATTCAGGGATCAATTTCTTAATGTTGCTATTAAATTGATTAAGAAAGAATCCTATGTTATTTTCATTTCTATTATTTCTCCAGGCACTGTCAATCTCATCCAAAATCATCTTCAGGGGTGAATTGCTAAGACAAAAACATTAATGTAATAGACAGTTGCGGATTTTTTTGAAAATGCGCAGGAAACGCGCTCTGTTATAATTATGAACGCTAATTTTAATAACAACAATAAGAAATTCAGCTGTGGTTTGAGAGGATTAAAATAAAATAAATAGATATACTATGTCCAGTTTATTAAACCAAACATGCTTGAATGAAAATATGCTGCCTATATATATATATATATATATATATATATATACGAATACAAGTTTGCGATGAGATGGACTAAACTTCCAGAAACCAAAATCTATTTTGTTAAAAGTGCCCAATAGAGAGTAGATCGAATAATATTTATTTAAAAATTATGACATAAATAGTTTATAACATCACTACAAAAATAGCCATTTTGTTTCGAAACTTATGCTGTCTTGTCAATGGATGGTGTTGCAAGTTAAAAAAAAAAAAAAACACCAGAAGTGTTAAAATAAAATGGCTATTTTGTAGTGATGTTATAACATACATATGTTATATATATATATATATATATATATATATATATATATATATATATATATATGAACATTTACAGTTCGTGCTATAGACTGATGTTAGATTTATGGTTCAAAATACGCCATATAAGACGCGTATATATTCAAAAGTACGTACGACATACATATATATGTTTATATAATAAATATGTCGAAATGAAATGAATTAAGAATATATATCGACGTAAGTATATATACCTTTATGCAACAGGAAGTATATAAAACAATTTCATACACTATTTTGGCATGCTTTGCCGATGAACTGGAGAATAAAGGTACCAGAAATATAATTTTATTTAACAAGAACAAAATCGATTTCAGTGTGACAGTCCTTTATTCTCGTTAAGCAAAGGGATGCTTGGTTTTTACTTTAACCGGGACGTTATAGAAATTAAATTCTCATTCGAGTCACTTCTTTGTATTTTTTTTTAATTTTGTTTTTCTAAATAAAAAATAAAACTGAATCAAAACATATATTTTAATAATGGCTCTGTTGAAGTAATAATCAAACGTACGGCCGATCGACGTTTGTTTCACATAAGTCAATTTTTTCTTCAAAAAAAAAAAAAGCAATATATTTTTTCTGATGATGCCAAAGTATTTTTCCAAATGGTTCCATTCCTATATTTATCATACTGTCGGACTCTCATCCAACTTTATTTTTAGATTTACGCAAATGTGCTGTGTTAGGCAATATCAGTCGTAAATGTTAGGCCGTCTCCGTCGGATGAAGAAGAAACATGAATCGATGGAAATATGCTTATGGACTGAACATGTGAGTTATGGCGAAGTTTTAGTAAAAATGGAAACAAAAAAGACGTATATGTTTGGAATCAGAAAGCGACCACTGAAACTTCTAGTGCGCACAATAAGGAAAGAGGGCTTGGAAAATTTGACACTCACGGAACATATTAGGGCAAAAGAGACCGAGAAAAACAGCGAATAACCAACCTAATGAGCTTTTAGAAGGATTGGCATTAAGAGAAAACTTCTTAACTTCTATGAGCTAAAAATGACAGGAAGTTATGGAGAGCCACTATCACCAATGTCCTGAAGCGCTACGTCACATAAAAGAAGAAAGAGATGGGAATAATGTATTTATGTATTTATGTAATATAAGAAGACATTCCCTACCTAAACATGCTCATATTTTCTTCCCCCTCAATATACGTATATATATATATATATATATATATATATATATATATATATATATATATATATATATCCAAGCTGCTCCCACCGTGCCACCATCAATTCCAGTCGAATCCATTACATTCACTTACGTGCTAATACCCTTGGGAAAGGTATGTATCCTCTTCATCTCCCTCCAGATATGGGTAAAATAGCAGGACAGACTGGGTTCTATAGCCTTGGATGGCAACTGGTCTAGGAGAAGGACAACTCTGAATTCAAAACCTGCGGAGGGTCGTTTGGGAACCTTGTGGCATGCATTCTGTGCACCAGGTTTCTGTATTCTTCCCTCCAAAAAGTGTGGCTGGTCCTGCACGAGGCCTTCACCACTATAATCAAATCTCATGTGCCGGTGTCGGGATGTCGGTTTCCTGGGGATTTATCGGCCTGACCCTCATACGTCGAACGCGACGGGAGAGTCGATTATATATATATATATATATAAAAAAGATAGATCCATGAAGCTCAATGTATCAATATATAAATATATGTATATATGTGTATATTATTTTTATTAATTTTCACCCAATACAAGACACAAGAGCCACTCAAGGTAGAGCGTTACTATTTGGAGTTATATTAACGTAGCAAAGAAGACTTTAGATAGAATCGGAAATTCAATCCTAAACAGGAAACAAGGGATAAACCACTACTCCTGTTCAAAAGACGTGAGAGGAGTGATAACCGAGTGATAGCCAAATCCATAATATATTTTAATATATATATATATATATATATATATATATATATATATATATGTCATATCCCTCGTTCAGGAGGTCGGTGATCGTGTGTATATACAGCTGAAAACATGTAAGCAATGATGACTGTTAATGAGAAAGTCAGTACATTCGTTCTCCGTTGCTTTCTCTAAAGATTTAAATTCAGTGTTGTCATTCTCCTAGACTGGCTACCAACCTAAGCTGAAGAGCCCAGTACATCCTACTATTTTACTCATAGCTTAATCGTTTCTAAGAATTACATTATGACGAAGTGAACGCAACTTTCACAGCCGGAATATAAACGCTTCTCCACGCTGCTTACATAAAGTATTCTATGTGAACATTAATGTGTGCATAATAAAATCTCCGCAGTGATAAACAGAAAGTTTGGCGGAAATATATTAATAGATAACCATGTTTAAAATACTCCTAGATAGATAGATAGATAGATAGATAGATAGATAGATAGATAGATAGATAGATAGATAGATAGATAGAAAATAAAACAAAAATATAATGTTAAAAGAAAGCAGAACAAAAGCGGAAAATGAAAACGTAGTAGTTTTATACGATGGAATGACTGCGTTAATTAGGTATCTGGAGAATAAGAACTCCCTGTGAATGAAAAAGAAAAAATTGGCAGGTAGAAAAAAAGAAAGAAAGAAAAAAAGAAAAAAAAGAAAGAAACAACGTTAAAAGAAAGAAAGAAAGAAAGAAAGAAAGAAAGAAAGAAAGAAAGAAAGAACGATTGGTGAAAGAAAAAAGAAAGTGCTGAAAGTAGGAAAAAAGGAATAAATAAATAAAAATATAGAGGAAGAAATTGAATTGAATTCAAAATGAAGAAGAAAATTTAACAATGCGAGAAAAATAAGAACAAGACAGAAAGGAAAAACGTTTAGAATAGCTAAAACAAACAAAATCTCACATCAAAAAATGAACAAAGGAAATAAAAAATAAAATGAAAACAAAAAAGAAAAAAGAAAAATCGAACACAAAGAAGAAAGAGAATAGCATCAAAGGAAAGTATTATAAATAAAAACGAATCAATAGAAAGAAAGAAAGAAAGATTCGTGAAAGAAAAACGAAAGAAAAAAAAGAAAATTCAAAAAAACGAAAGAAAGAAAAAAAAAAATTCAAACGGAAATAAAGTAATTTTAAGATGGAATAAAATGAAAGCATTAAAGACATTCTGGGAAAATCTGCAACAAAAGTTTTCATCATTGAAATAAATAAAGAAAGAAAGAGAAATTAAATGAAAAACAATGCAGCAAGAAAGAACTAATGACAAAGAGAAATATGGCGAAAGAGTTTAAACAAGGACGTGTCGAGTAAATCTACTCGTTTTGTCGTTGCTAATGGCGTTATTTTGTTTTCATAAGAAGCGACAATTCGAAATGAAAACATTTGTCGTGATGAATTGGCACGAGTGTGTGTCAGTTTCGTTTTAACTTCTCGACGGAACTGGGAGAGAACGAAAGATTGATAGACAAAGAGAGCAGTAAACGGGAACAGGTCAAAGAAAAGAAAGAAATTAAAATAAAAGAATTGCTTAAAGTGGGGGGAAAAAGAACGGAGTAAAGAATATTCTAAAATATCTCTCTCTCTCCCTCTTCCTGCCTCCCCTATATATATATATATATATATATATATATATATATATATATATATATATAAATTTAAATGTCTGTTCTTTTTCGTGAAACTTGTTAGGAGATCCAATGTGATAGGTGTTGTTCATAATGACAGTCGTCTTTTAGTATAGAATCCAGAGGTTAGCAGTGAATATTTCGAAGACAGTAGGAGAGCGTTGTTCAGGTTAGCAGTGGATATTTTGGTAAAAGTAGCAGAGCATAGTTCGTCCTTCTGGTTCTCTTCGCCTGACAAGCTGGACTGGGCATTCGGGTAGAGTGAACAAAAATGGCCGCCTTTATACACGACAGATTCAATGTTCTACGTCTTCTGATTAGGTAACCTTCTATTGGTGGACTATAAAGTGAGTCAAGTCATTTGAGCTAACTCACTAGTTATATATATACACAAAAACTGTAACAATAGGTCCTGACCTGACATCTCGACTCCAGCTACTTTCTCACAGACGTGATGTAGCTTCCCTCTGTCTTATCTACAAATATTTTCATGACGAGCTATTTTCACTGGTACCTCATCTGCATGAATTTAAGCGTGATACTAGCTTGATATCTCGTTCCCACCCTTTTACTGTAAATGTAACCACATCTTCTACACCAACAGCTTCTTCTCTCGCACTCCCCGACAGTGGAACTCCCTTCCTCTTACTTGCTTCCCTGATAATTATAATCTTCAAAAATTTAAATGGAATGTCAATTGATATCATCTGATGCCTTGATCTTGATCCTGTCTTTCTCTTTATCCTTTCCTCAAACACCAGTCTTTCCTCTTACTTTCACTCTTATTAGGGTAGTAGTACTACCGCCTTACTAGGAGTGAAATGCTTAGAATTTAAGTTCCTTTCATTTACCATACGGTCAGTTTTAGACCCACTGGGTGACAGGGTGTAATTGATTTCTATTTTTTCCTCAGATTAGGTCATTTGCAGTGGTGTGCAGCAATATGAATCAAAACCAAAAAACGGACGAAAAACATAGCTATAACTGTTATATAACGATAAAAAAATACTACGTTACTTAAAAATCGAAAACCGAATAGAGTAAATAAAAATATACAGTATAATAAATAAATAATAAAAAAACCAATTAACATAAATTACTCTAAATTCATCCAAATAAATAAACTAACAAATCGATCCCGATAAATTAACCGTTAGAAAAAACAAATAAAGATAAATCAATCCAAATAAATAAATGAATTAATAAACAAATTAAAAACTGCTCCCGCCAAAATAATAGTAAGAATAACTACAGCAATCAAACCCAAAATGAATAGCTTTACTTATCTTCCGAAACCAAAACAAAACTATTAAATAAGTGATACAAAGAAATTTTTACTACTTTAATAAAACACCGATTAAAATAAAAATAAATAAATAAATATGATAATAAATAAAAATAAAAATAAATAAAAACAAGCAAAATAATCTAACCCAAATAAATAAATAAACAAATAAACGACTTCCGGCAATATAACCGCCGAAGTAGACTACCTACAATGCACCACTGACCCGTATATATAAACAGCCGAGAAAAAAAAAACAACACTCGTGGCCTGATGATTGCGTCTAGCATGACACAGGTTGTCGCCTCTAAGTGTTGACTTCAATTTTCACTTTTATATTTACACACGCTCTATCACTGATATTGAGCTCTTTATCCCATAAATATAGCACACACTTATATTTACATATATATATATATATATATATATATATATATATATATATATTTAAAAAGAAAAAACAGACCACGTTAAGGTACCATTATAATAATTTATTTCACCAGAGCCTTTTATCCCATCAAATATAGGATTACCAACTTCTTCACAACTATATATATATATTATATATATATATATATTATATATATTATACTTACAGATTAAAGAAATATTATATTTTTTTATAAAACAGATTCGAAGGAATCGAACTCGTAATACCCTTCGACAGGGAAACTACCATCAAGCCAAGTATACGCTTATCAATTAGGCTGCGGGAAATCATCATCATAAATCAATATTTAATTAGGAATCTTTTCGTTGGCACTTTATCAATTATACAATTATATCTGATGCTAATTTAACGATTGCCGTCGGAAGGCACATTTACTTTGGTCGGACTTCTAAATTTTGAGATTGGCTGATGCTGATATTAATTTCACTCTTCAAAATATGGTCGTCAACTTCATCATGGTGATTTGCTAGGCGTGGCTTCTATGTGGCACAAAGCCGAAAGTATGGGCACTCAGTGAGGATCGAACATTATTCAGTCGTAATTCTTCTAGCGAGACAAGCTTGCTAACCATTTCACCATGTCGAGGGGCCCACGTTAACTTCATCATGTGTAAACACTATATATAACGTTGATAACGATAAAAAAAAAAAATAAAGTTCTATTTTTAAAAAAAAATACTTCCTTTAATTTTCGGTTACGAAAATGAATTTAACAGATATAAACATCGAATGGTTCCAACCAGAGATGCGCATTTCTTAACTTGCCCTTAATTTGACGGTTTCTTGTGGCCCATTTTTTAGGTTTGCCTGGAAAGTGGTTTTCCTGATAGAAAAGAAAAATACAGGTTGGAATTCTGTTTGGGGGGTCTGGGGGGGCTTGGGGGTCTTTGGGGGGTCTTTTGTGGGGGGTACTGGCTGGTTATATTCAATGCCTTAAAAACCAAACTGGTTACATTCCGTCACCGCCAATCAGAACCCAAACTACCGCCAGTCACGATGAACGGATGCCTCCACGAGTAGACACCGAGCCTTGAGAAAATATTCCGCCTCAAACTCACATCCGATCACAAGTGAAACTCTTATATACGATCCATTGCTAAAGATCTAAGTAAAATGTTCGGCTCACTGTACCCCCACCAGTAAGTATCTGATTCCTCATTCTACCGTTATAAGAGCCAGATCAGGCCCAAAATGGAAAACTGTTGCCATATTTGGATAGAAGCTGTCCGGTCCTCGCTTTCCAGTTCAAAAGCGTCTCTGAGTACATGTTGGAGAAGAATTATTTTCCACGTTCCAACATCTCTTTCACAGGCGAGTCTCTCACTGCTCTTTCGCTAATTTCATGGAAATTTCTCGGGCGAACAACATTCCTTGGTTCCGTCAAGTCTAACCTTCATGGCTAAGAACTGCCATGCCTTTTACATAGTAGCAAGCCACCCACATATTCCATCGGCGAGAAGTAAGTTTCACTCGAAAAGCTACTTCCCGCGAACCACCGCCCTGTGGAACAGATTGCTAATTGGATGTTTCCCCGATCACTACAATCTTAACCTGTTCAAGTCTAGAGTCATCTGTTATCTTCCCCTCCAATCCATACATCCTTAGTGTGACCTTCTACCTCGAGCAGCTCCCCAACCTTGTACATGGTCAACCTTACAGTAAAAAAACAAACAAAAAACTATTGATTTTGTTCTTTTTTCCTAATCCGTATGAGTAAGTAGTTATCCATGACGTAAGCAGTCTCATATTTGACATTTGTAAATGAAAACAACATAGATGCAAACACCGTACATATCTGACATCTAAAATGATAAAAAAAATTAATATTTTTCGACTCTGACAAATAACTTTGGTAGAGCAAGGCCTAATGAATGCTAATCTATAAAAATTGCTAAAAGAATTGCCTATTTTTTTAAAAGCAGACCAGTTAACCTCATTAGAGTCGATTTTCGATTACGATGAATTTCAGTTCTATTTGCCGTATGCTGAGATTCTACAAGTAGTAAGAAGCGCCTTATAATTTTCTAGGTATTTTTTTGGAAAATATTTGAAGATTTGATAGCTTACCGTACTCTCAAGTCCATATCTTCGACTCTACGAAGGTATTTTTCTTTTTGCCACAAGAAATTATCACATTTTGGACCTATTATTAAATATTTGTGGTTATTAGATTTTCTATAGGGTTTGTGTTTGTGAGGATACCGTACGGTCTGCCTACATGAACGAAAAACTTACACTATCAGTAACTGAAGTACTTGGAAAAAAACAATCTACATCGTATGATACTAACAGAACATACGATAATTATGACATATGAATGATAATTTTTAGCTTATATTATATGCTTGGGGTTGATAATTGCTTGTATCTCGTGTCTGGGATTCATGAGGTTTGGCAAACTACTCTCTATAATTTGGCTTTCCAGTGCTAAAACGTAAGGTGATTTTGAGGGCATTTTTCGGGAAGGAAATTACTTTTTAGCTTGCGGAAAATACGCTAAGTTTATTGTAAAAAAAAATCTTCACATTTTGTTTTTCTATAACATATTTCAGATACTTTTTTTCAACATTTTACTTCCAATTTAAGCACATCTTCCTCTTTTTTTGTCTGCATTGCAATGTAAAACTCGGAAGTAAATCACGCACACTTGTCAAGCTGACTACACTGTCCATGATTATCTGGAGGAGGCTGAGGCGTGAATATATGCATCACCTATATTTGGACGAGAAGGCTTAATAAATGGCACAAAATATGGCCTTGATTGATTCGAATACAGATATGAATTCTTGGACTTATCT